CGCGGTTGCTGCCCTATAAATACCACGCGATCTCCACCATTCCAAACACCATCTCACAACCCATTTCGGGTTTTCCCCTTCAATTTGCTCAATATTTCATTGTATATTAGTTTAGTTATTATTTTTAAGTATTTTCCGGAGGATTTGACTCCCGATCTGTTCTGTTCCGCTTTTACGGAAGTAGTAAGTTTTCTTTATTTAATAAAATGCTGTTTTAATTTATGTTTGCATAGTATGAGTTAGGGTCCGGATCTCTGGGTCCGGACTAGTTTGGTTGTTTATTTTTGATGTTAAATTAATGTTGGAATGGTTAATCTATTGTTCTTGCCTTATTTAGTTAATTAATGTCGGAAGATTTAATTAGCTATTTATTGAGAAAATATTGTATGCCAAAAGGTTATGATATTCAAGTGCAACGGATTAAGTACAAATCTAGAAATGGATGAGTAGTAATAAAAATATTATTATTCCAACTGTTAATTTAATATGATAAAATAGATTTAAATGATGTCCAGACCCTAGGTCCAGATCTGCACTTATACTATGTAAAATTAATTTATTATTTTTACTCTACTCTTTTTATAATCGTTTCGAGAAGACTTTCATAAATCAATCCTAACTTTCGCCTAGTTAGAGTAATTAAACTAATTCCCTTCGTCCACTCCTTGAGAGATACGACACTCGGAGAGAAAACTAACCCTTTACTGGGAAGGTTTACTACCCAAAAAACTACAACTGTCAAATGGCGCCGTTGCCGGGGAGTGGCACGGCATTAGTTTAATTTCTTCTAATTAGCTTGGGTGAAGATTGGTTGGAACGATCTTCTCACTTCTTTTTTTCACCAACCACCCGTAATAATTATTATGGACAACTCCAGTGGTTATTACGGCCCGCCTTCTTACTAGCAATCACCCAACCGCCCTCCGTACCAAACCCACCAAACCTATCACCCACATCAAAACTCATATAATGACGACTACCAAGCCAACAATAGATTTGACTACTATCCCTACCATGAGGAACCACCATATGATACCCCGTCTAGAAACTTTGGATATTCTCCATACCAAGATCCTGATGGGGATGATTATTATGAACCTCATGGTGACCAAGATGACTATGACCAATTTGGGCCTATGCGCGACGATCAATCTGATCCACTCGTCGAAGAAATAATAAGATTAGAACAGAAAATCTTCTATTTCGACGAACTTTTATTTGCTGAAGGCTCGTGGTACGAACCACCCTACTCCCGTGACTACACTTTGTTTGCTGAAGAACAAATTGAAGCAAAAAAGGTGGCAATTCGAGAAAGAGCAAAACTTCTCGAATCAGTTCGGAAGGAAAAGGAGTTCGAAAGGAGATTATGCGATGGATCATGTATGATGCAGAAAATGCTAGATGACTTCCAAAGAGAGAGACTAGAAGCTGAGGCTAAAGCTGATAAATTAGTCAATGATCTCTGCAAGGCTGTTGAACTTAAACACTCCTTCCAATCTCAAGATCAAATGAGGGAGATTAATGTTCAAAAAGAGGCTCTAGAACCTAAGACCAACCCTGAACCCATCAACCAACAGGTCCCGGTTCTGGAAGATTCACCTAATTCCGCACCATCACAGAAACCCGAGAGCATAACAACTCTCGCTAGGGCTACTGTGGTGATATTACCTGAATCTCTTCCTAGCCAAGACCCAACTAGCATAGTTGTACATGAGGTGGAACCAACTGAGGGACCTGACTCAGAACCACCTATGCTTATTCAAGAAAAGAAGGAGGAGGAAGTTTTGCCTACGGCAATAAACGACCATCTCATTAATGGTGTTGAAGACACACCTCCAAAGGAACCTGTTTTGGAGGAGATAGAGCCCATTACCTGCCCCCAAGATTCCAATATCCAAGAGTCTGAGGAGGAAACATTGTGCACGGAAAACCCAACTTCGTCTATAGAAACCTGTGCAAATAATCCTTCACCAGGATATTCAGACCAAACTTTATTTGACTCCTTACATGACGGGTGTAACCCGGTTTGCCCGGAGGATAGTTGGAGCCAAAAGAGTTGGGATGAACTTCTGGTAAGTGACACTGAAGACTCATCCATGGGGGAAAGCACGGTCGTCATCATCAAACCACAAATGGATAGTCAGCCTATTGAAGATAAGGAAGGAATCAATTTCACAATCAAAGCTAATGATGTGGATCAACTGAGGAGACTTCCGCCACCACCCACCTATCTAGAGTCTCCTCCTTTTATCCTGTTGCCGCCAAGCCGCAGGGACGAGTCAAGGATCCTGGACCTTGACCGAGCAAAGATTCAAACAAGGTGGCATCAGAAGAGAGTCAGAAGTGCCAAACTTTATGACTCTCGGATCGGAAAGTCGCGGAAAAAGTGGGTGAGCGTCGAGCTACGGACGTTAAAGAAGCGCTTAACGGGAGGCAACCCGTCATTCAAATAACTAAAATATTTAAATAAATTCAATAATTTTATTTGTTGTTCTTGAGTTTCTACTTGCCGCACCAGTTCTGGGGGCAAGATTTTATGTGTTTGTTTATGTGTGTGCAGATGCCTCATCGTCCTTCTTACCCTACTGTGGACCGTAATGAGGTCCAACTGATTGATGCTGCTTCTAGGATGAGGTTCGATGAGTGGGGACACTCACGGGTGTTACACGAGTCTGTGTGTCTTGCTCAGGACACATTGACGGACTATGGCTATGCAGAGGAGATGGAGGAGCTGCTTAAGGGGACCAGATGGCAGCGCCTGCTTCAGATGAGGGCAGAGTCTAGCCTACCACTGACCATCGAGTTCTTATGCTCGATATCTACTGTCCCGGAGATTGAGTCACGCCAGATGACTCACACTTTGATCACTGCTGATACCACATTTGCTTTCACTCTTGCGGGCTAGTCATTTCATTTGACAGTGAGAGAGATGGCTGTTCGTCTCGGGATCTACACCCAGGAGGAGACCGAGTAGCCTGAGTTCTACGACGATCCCTTTTAACTTCCCGCAGATTTTGATGCTATAGCTTTCTGGAGGGAGCACTCATCTGACGACAAGGAGTTCGTGAACAAGAAGAGTAAGGCACGCTACTGGATTCGGCCCAGCTGGAGGATCCTATCTTTTGTTCTTTCGACATCCTTCTTTGGGAGGCTGTCGAACACTGATAGGGTCTACGAGGAGGATATGTTTGTCTTCTGGAGCTTGCACGACCGCCAGCCGGCGAACGTGGCTATGTACCTGGCCAGATTCTTATACTCCTAGTCCTACGGGTGTAGAACGCACTTGGTGTGTGGGTTTGTGATTACTTTGCTCTTTCGCTCCCTCGTGGGGGACACACCCATCCCACGGCCTGTGCAGTTGATGAGGGATTTAGATGCCGGCATGCTCCGGAATGCTCACATCCACCGGAGACTCTTTCCTAGCTCTTCTGAGAGCACTACGGCCTCTACTGGCCGCACTTCACATGATATTGGAGAGTCATCCGGTCAGAGAGATCGTCTCAGTGCCTTCCTCGTCGACAACCTACCAGAGCACAGTTGGCTCGCGCTCAGACGGAGGTAGCACCGGCATGGGCCTAGCAGCTCTTGCAGAACCAGAACGCACTTATGCAGTCCGTTGCGGCACTCCAGCAGCAGGTGCATGGTTTAGACAGGATACGTGAGGCATTGGGTTTCGAAAACCCGACAAACCTCCCTCCGCGTCAGCAGTAGCCCAGAGATGACAATTCCTCCACCTCTCGGCCTCCGCAGTGATCTCCTACTTTCTTCAGAACTTTTTATCTTATTTGAGCTGGAATTGATGACTTGACTGGTTTATTTGGATTCCTGTTTGACTTCTCCTGGTAAACTTTTATGGTTATGCTTATTTACTATTTCAATCATCATTTTGAATATGTTACATATGCAACCATCTTAGTCATCATATCCTTGGTATTTCAACCAAAAATTCTACTCTGAAACACTTTTTTTTTTGTCGCGAGGGCGCGGTTCCGTTCAAGTGTGAGGAAGATGTGAATTATTGGTTAAAATATTCCGGGTTAGAATTGTTTGTTTTGCATATTTGTGGGTAAAGATTTTATAAGTATGGTCATCAACTCTTTTGTTTAAATAATTAAATTTTTAGTTATCACCCATAAAAACTGGGAATTTTTAAATTTTTTGTCAACTTTTATTCTTTTTCCCTAATTTTTTTTTCAAACGATTTCTAAAATCATTTGGGATACATTAGTATTTTCTAAGTTTTTTTAGATCAATCAAGTTTCAAATAGCCTCTTTAAAAATGTCATTTCTCATAAAAGTTTTTTTAAATATAAGGGTCTATATATAAAAAAATTCTAATGGTTTAAATTTTATTGGGATTGCTCTTAAGTGATGAATTGGAAATTCTATCTCCGTAAAGGGGCTCTGCTTCTCCCGCTAATCGCATAAGGCGAGGGAGCAAGTATGCATTTGTCATAGAATACATCCACAATCTCAGTAATGCAATATGCCTTGGCATTTTGAGAATTCTCTCATGATAAATAATGCTTAATAAAATAAATAGGCCCGTATTGTTTGACGAAAACCTTTTTGGAAATCCATTTTTTAGAGCTTTTAAACTCTTTTTTATTTTAAAATAATCCTTAGAAATATGACTATCCCAATGAAACATTTAGAGTTTAGTTTGATTTAATTGGGTAAAAATATTAGTTTGACAAAATATTTTCAAATTTCTAGCAATATGGGTGAGAATCTATAAATTTATTTTTTTTCACATAAAAACGTTGATGACCATCTTATCCTTCCTTTCCTCCAAATTGTCTAATTTAAACTTTTCTTCTGTGATGACTAATTTGTTTTCATATCTAACTTATTCAATTTGTTGCTTGAGGGCAAGCAACGTTTAAGTGTGAGGAATTTGATAAGTTCATTTTGTTCTTATTTTATTCCACATATTTTAAGCGTTATTGCACGAAAATAGTAATAAATTTACCCATTGAAAGTGTCTACTAGTGACAAAACTGATGTTTTGTCTCAAGAAGAATAAAATACCGGTTTTAAATTACATTAAGTGGATTTGTCAATTTTATGTACAAATTGGATAAAAAGTTTCAGATTTTAAAGATCATGATACTTCGGAGGTAGAAATCATTGTCCGGGAGCCAATTGGGCCAATACGGAACAACTTCGGGCCCAAAATCACGAGAAACCGCAATTAGAAGCAAAATGGGCGCTGGATTTGGTTCCTGGGCGTCGAAAGTTGGACGCCTGGGGTAGTTGGACGCCCAAGCAAGGCTGGTGACACGGAAATGACACGCGGCGCAGCAGGAGTGGATGGAACACGTGGTCAGGGGACGGGCGTCAAAAGTTGGACGCCCAGGGAGTTGGACGCCCGCGGTTGCTGCCCTATAAATACCACGCGATCTCCACCATTCCAAACACCATCTCACAACCCATTTCGGGTTTTCCCCTTCAATTTGCTCAATATTTCATTGTATATTAGTTTAGTTATTATTTTTAAGTATTTTCCGGAGGATTTGACTCCCGATCTGTTCTGTTCCGCTTTTACGGAAGTAGTAAGTTTTCTTTATTTAATAAAATGCTGNAAAGTTGGACGCCCAGGGAGTTGGACGCCCGCGGTTGCTGCCCTATAAATACCACGCGATCTCCACCATTCCAAACACCATCTCACAACCCATTTCGGGTTTTCCCCTTCAATTTGCTCAATATTTCATTGTATATTAGTTTAGTTATTATTTTTAAGTATTTTCCGGAGGATTTGACTCCCGATCTGTTCTGTTCCGCTTTTACGGAAGTAGTAAGTTTTCTTTATTTAATAAAATGCTGATTTAATTTATGTTTGCATAGTATGAGTTAGGGTCCGGATCTCTGGGTCCGGACTAGTTTGGTTGTTTATTTTTGATGTTAAATTAATGTTTGAATGGTTAATCTATTGTTCTTGCCTTATTTGGTTAATTAATGTCGGAAGATTTAATTAGCTATTTATTGAGAAAATATTGTATGCCAAAAGGTTATGATATTCAAGTGCAACGGATTAAGTACAAATCTAGAATTGGATGAGTAGTAATAGAAATATTATTATTCCAACTGTTAATTTAATATGATAAAATAGATCCAAATGATGTCCAGACCCTAGGTCCAGATCTGCACTTATACTATGTAAAATTAATTTATTATTTTTACTCTACTCTTTTTATAATCGTTTCGAGAAGACTTTCATAAACCAATCCTAACTTTCGCCTAGTTAGAGTAATTAAACTAATTCCCTTTGTCCACTCCTCGAGAGATACGACACTCGGAGAGAAAACTAACCCTTTACTGGGAAGGTTTACTACCCGAAAAACTACAACTGTCAGGAATGTATGGCTAGTGGTGGGGAAGGGTTTTGGCTTTTTGTGGGTGTTTATGTTGGGATTGTGTGTTTTAATTGGCCAGGAAATAAAAGGAAGGAAGGGAAGGTTCTACTTGTTTATTAAAAGGCTTAAAAGAAGAAAAATAACAACAAACAAAAAGGTTTTATTTTACACACTCTTATTTTCGGACCTGGGCTAAAATAAGAGTAGGAGGAACTTTATTTTGGATATCAAATGGAAATAAAGTACTTTTGGATATTTGGGGTTGGGTTGGACGGAATGAGGATTGGCCAGCGGAACCATGAGGTCAAAAACGAAAGTTATTTGGCCTTTTGGGTTAAAGGACTTTGAATTCTTACTAAAATGGATCATAATGTTTGAACCTAAGTCCTTTGGTTCCCATGGGAGTGTGGGACATCGGGGAGGGTAGGATAGGGCCGGGCCCTGATATAACAGTCGTTCTTTCCTTCGAAAGTGGGCATGTCAACCTTGAAATCAGAGGCTGACTTCTCTGGATTTCTAGTTCTTAGGGTAGCAACAGAACTAGCATCATCTTCATCTTCACTTTCTTCAGGAGTTTGAACCATACTCATCTTGAATTTAGTGAGCTTTGCCACTTCTTTTGCCAAGTATTCAACTTGAGCCTTCAATTCTGCATTGGAAGCAATAAGCTCTTCTTGGGACATAATTTGAGTTGTGTGAGACATGGTTTAAAAGAACCAGGTGTAGGGAAAGAGGGGTGTAGTTGGTGATGTGAAGAAAATTCAGCAAGGTAAGATAGTCGATTATTTGAGTTTGATAATCGATTATCGATGCTATCAGGATCAAGATTGGGAGAGAAAGAGAGAATGAGAGGGAAGTGTTTGTGGTCCTCAAAGAGATGTTCAACAAGCTTTGATACCAAATGTTATACCCGAGACCCGGGGTAGTCTAGGATATCAACTTAAGAAGAGGAAGAGGGAGAGAAGGATGTAGAAATATAGGGGAGGCTGAATTCAGGAGAAATCAAAGGAGAGGGAAAGAAGCATTTATCAAGTGAATAATAAGAGGAATCACACACACTTATCTTCACTCGGGTTAAACTCTAGTATTTAAATAAGGAATCACTCAACTTATTTAATATATCTAGAACCTAAAACTCCCATTTAAGAGAACCACTCTTAAGATATAGAATTAGGATTTAATATATAGAATTTAGAGAGAGAACTGAGCAGGAAACTTATATTATCACAATATATTTTTACAAGCTGATTATACATTGATCCAGGGCTGAAATATATAGGCCATGGAATGGATAAAACAATACAACAATCATGATTACATGATAAATAAAATACAACAAAGGAAACTTCCCACTTCTTTCCTACAAAATAAAACAAATGCTGTGCATGTGTTAATATCCCAAATGAGTTGAATTCTTGGCTAATGATCAGGGATTTTGGCATGTATTTTGAGTGGTTTTATGTATGATTTTCGTCCTTAGGGTGAAGGAATAAAGGAAACAACATGGCTTGACTTCTAGTGAAATATAGGACAGAATATTACTATTCAATCAAAGACTTTTTGGGCAGGCACATGGNATGATAAATAAAATACAACAAAGGAAACTTCCCACTTCTTTCCTACAAAATAAAACAAATGCTGTGCATGTGTTAATATCCCAAATGAGTTGAATTCTTGGCTAATGATCAGGGATTTTGGCATGTATTTTGAGTGGTTTTATGTATGATTTTCGTCCTTAGGGTGAAGGAATAAAGGAAACAACATGGCTTGACTTCTAGTGAAATATAGGACAGAATATTACTATTCAATCAAAGACTTTTTGGGCAGGCACATGGGTGAGGGATTAAGCTTATAAAAGTCTTTGATTTTGTTGAATAATAACATGGGAATTTCGTCCATATATAGTGGGAATGGTATGTAGTCAAGTGTGTTCCTAAATGGCAAAACCTTTACTGTTAAATCAGAGACTACTTCGGTTTCCAAGTTCCGAGACAGGTGATAATCGATTATCTCTTGCTGATAATCGATTAATAGGGTTTGATACAGAATGAGGAATGTTCTGAGGAATCAAATAGTCGATTGTCTCTACAAGATAATCGATTCACAAGGATTTACCCCAAACTGGATATCTTCTAAGATGAGTGATAATCGATTTTCTTTAGGGAGATAATCGATTATGGAGCATTTGCAGGAATATGTTGAGAGGATTCAGAAGGAAGCAATAGTCGATTATCTATGTTGGATAATCGAGTATCATGTCTAAAAAAAATAAACAAAGGTTTTATTCTGCCTTTTGTTGTTCACCTTCGGCCTGTGCTTAGTAATGAATAACAAAGACTTTATTTGGACAGATAAAATGATTTTGGATGTTTGTGGGAGAAGGTTTGTGGGTTATGGTTTGGCTTAGGGAGCGTTTTGGGCAGCAAGGGTTATGGTTTGGGCTTTTTGATGGAAAGAAGAAATGAATTCAACCCAATAAGGATTATAACAATTAAGCAATAACTCCTGATTTTGCTTACCCTTTGGTGATGCATGGTGGGGTAAAACAAAAATCATCACAGCCATAAACTCATTCACACCGGAGTAAAATGGATACATTTCAGGCTATGTTCGTTTGAGGCACTGAAGAAACCGACGCTATATGGCGTGGCGTTACCGAATTAACCACCGTTATAGCCCAGATTTGAAATTAGTTTTGTGCTTGAGTCATTAGAAACGAATTCGCCATGGCTGCAACAACGTTTAATTCCATAGTGCCACACCAAGATACGTTCATTCCTACGATGCCTCAAACTTAAAGAGACTAAAGATCTCATAAACAGATTTCGTTTCTTCAAAATCATCACAGCCATAAGCTCATACACAGACCCCCGTGAATGGCTACATTTCACGCAATTTAAGAAACCAAATCGCAATGGAGTCTAAAATGGTGCTTAATTGCGTAACATCGCGCCATATTATATTGGTTTCTTAAATTGCCTGAAATGAACAAAGCCTGAAAATCAGAGAAACATATTTCATTACTTCAAAATCATCATATGCCATAAAATTTTTACTCACACCACCACGAAATTTAGGCGTTTGAGGTAATGAAAGAAACCAAATCGCCATGGCTGCATCAACGGTGGTTAATTCCGTAACGCCACGCCAAGTTGCATTCAGTTCTTCAATGCCTCAAACTGTAAAAACCTGAAAATCAAAGTAATTAATTTCATAAATTCAAAATCTGAACACCCGTAAATTCTTATACCATTTCTTATACACAACCACCCAAAATTGATACACTTGAGGCAATCTAAGAAACGAAATTGCCATGGCTGGTATAATGGTGGACTGGTTAGTAAGGTAACCCAATGCCAAGTTACGTTCAGTTTCTTCACTGCCTCAAACAAACAAAGCCTAAAAATCACTGTAACAGAATTGGGAAGCCTAAGTATCAGGGCCTAAAACCGTTTTAGCTCACATTTAAAATCCAGTGTTGGGCTTGAGTCATATCAGAAATGAATTTGCCATGGCTGCAACAGCGGTTAAATCCGTAATGCCACGCCAAGATACGTTCGTTTCTTATATGAACAAAGGCTAAAAATCTCATAAACGGATTTCGTTTCTTCAAAATCATCACAGCCATAAACTCATTCACACTGGAGTAAAATGGATACATTTGAAATTGGTTTTGTGCTTAAGTCATTAGAAACGAATTCGCCATGGCTGCAACAACGTTTAATTCCGTAGTGCCACACCAAGATACGTTCAATCCTACGATGCCTCAAACTTAAAGAGACTAAAGATCTCATAAACAGATTTCGTTTCTTCAAAATCATCACAGCCATAAACTCATACACAGACCCACGTGATTTGCAACTTTCAGTCAATTTAAGAAACCAAATCGCAATGGATTTTACAATGGTGATTAAAATTCGTAACACCGCGCCATATTACATTGGTTTCTTAAATTTCTTGAAATGAACAAAGCCTGAAAATCAGAGAAACATATTTCATTACTTCAAAATCATCATATGCCATAAAAGTTTTACTCACACCAGCACGAAATTTAGGCGTTGGAGGCAATGAAAGAAACCAAATTTCCATGGCTTGTATAATGGTGGTTAGTAAGGTAACACAACGCCAAGTTATGTTCAGATTTCTTCGCTGCCTCAAACAAACAAAGCCTAAAAATCACTGTAGCAGAATTGGGAAGCCTAAAAATGAGAGCCTAAATTCGTTTTAGCTCAGATTTGAAATCCAGTGTTGGGCTTGAGTCATATAAGAAACGAATTCGCCATGGCCGCAAAAGCGGTTGAATCCGTAATGCCACGCCAAGATACATTCGTTTCTTATATGAACAAAGGCTAAAAATCTCAGAAACGGATTTCGTTTCTTCAAAATCATCACAGCCATAAACTCATTCACACCGGAGTAAAATGGATACATTTCAGGCTATGTTTGTTTGAGGCATTGAAGAAACCGACGCGATATGGCGTGGCGTTACCGAATTAACCACCGTTGTAGCTCAAATTTGAAATTGGTTTTGTGCTTGAGTCATTAGAAACGAATTCGCCATGGCTGCAACAACGTTTAATTCCGTAGTGCCACACCAAGATACGTTCATTCCTACGATGCCTCAAACTTAAAGAGACTAAAGATCTCATAAACAGATTTTGTTTCTTCAAAATCATCACAGCCATAAACTCATACACAGACCCACGTGAATGGCTACATTTCAGGCAATTTAAGAAACCAAATTGCAATGGATTCTACAATGGTGTTTAAATGCGTAACACCGCGCCATGTTACATTGGTTTCTTAAATTGCCTGAAATGAACAAAGCCTGAAAATCGGAGAAACATATTTCATTACATCAAAATCATCATATGCCATAAAAGTTTTACTCACCAGCATGAAATTTAGGCGTTGGAGGCAATGAAAGAAACCAAATTGCCATGGCTGGTATAATGGTGGTTAGTAAGGTGACCAAACGCCAAGTTACTTTCAGGTTTCTTCACTGCCTCAAACAAACAAAGCCTAAAAATCACTGTAACAGAATTGGGAAGCCTAAAAATCAGAGCCTAAAACCGTTTTATCTCAGATTTGAAATCCAGTGTTGTGCTTGAGTCATATAAGAAACGAATTCGCCATGGCTGCAACAGCGGTTGAATCCGTAATGCCACGTAAAGATACGTTCGTTTCTTATATGAACAAAGGCTAAAAATCTCAAAAACGGATTTCGTTTCTTCAAAATCATCACAGCCATAAACTCATTCACACCGGAGTAAAATGGATACATTTCAGGCTATGTTCGTTTGAGGCATTGAAGAAATCGACGCGATATGGTAGGGCGTTACCGAATTAACCACCGTTGTAGCCCAGATTTGAAATTAGTTTTGTGCTTGAGTCATTAGAAACAAATTCGCCATGGCTGCAACAACGTTTAATTCCGTAGTGCCACACCAAGATACGTTCAATCCTACGATGCCTCAAACTTAAAGAGACTAAAGATCTCATAAACAGATTTCGCTTCTTCAAAATCATCACAGCCATAAACTCATACACAGTCCCACGTGAATGGCTACATTTCAGGCAATTTAAGAAACCAAATCGGAATGGAGCCTACAATGGTGCTTAATTGCGAAACACCGTGCCATATTACATTGGTTTCTTAAATTGCCTGAAATGAACAAAGCCTGAAAATCAGAGAAACATATTTCATTACTTCAAAATCATCATATGCCATAAAATATTTACTCACACCAGCACGAAATTTAGGCGTTTGAGGCATTGAAAGAAACCAAATCGCCATGGCTGCTTCAACGGTGGTTAATTCCGTAACGCCACGCCAAGTTGCATTGAATTCTTCAATGCCTCAAACTGTAAAAACCTGAAAATCAAAGGGTTAATATCTAAGTGTTATGATCCTTTTTGGGCTGAACTCATTAACCTTTCGTACCCTAAAAGCCAAACCATAACCCTGCTCCTCCAAAGCTCTTCTTGATATCAAGCCTTTCCATATCCTTCCCAAATATCCAAAGTCTTTTATTTCCATTTAATAAACAAAATAAAGTCCTTTCTCTCCTTTTTAGCCCTGAACGAGAATGAGGTCAGAAGGACAAACCTTGTGTATTATTTTTACTTCTGTTATTCCTTTTAATTAAAATAAAACCTCCCTTTCACTTCCCTACTTCAAACCCACGAATTTCCCAACTCTTTTACCCAAAATTCAGGCCACATTATGTTCCACAAAACAAAAACAAAATCAGGAAAAGTTTTCCTTGATTGAATAGTGCTGATTTTGTCCTGTTATTCAAAACCCAATCCCCTTCATATTCTTCAGCATATGGCCGAATTTCCCACTCCAAATATCCATAAACACAACTCCATTTACCAAGGATAAAGATAAAAACATCAAGGAATCAAAATCATTGATTGAATAGTGCAAACTTTGTCACATTATCCTTAATTGTCAAAGTTACAATTTTCCTTGATTTCCTTCTCACATGGCAGGAATTAATGAACCATACTAAGCCAAAATCCCAGCCTTTTAATCCCCTTTTCTTGGTCAATGAGTGCTGCCCACTAAGAATAATAACACATGGATATTAATCACATGATTTGTAGGAAAGTGAAGTGTAATTTCCCTTATTTTGCATTATATATTTCGGCCATGAGGCCTTGTAAAGATCATCTCATTTTCATTATCAATATTACTCTTGAAGTGTTCCCTGAATTGGTGTGAAGCTAGTTCAATCCATTTCCTAATGAAATATCTCTAAAGTTGGCCACTTTTGAGTGTGTGTTAGGAGTCTATTTAATACTTTAATAGTGATTATTATTGTATAAAATAGATAACAGCCCCAAATATATATTAAGAGTGTGTTTATCTCTTACATATTGTTTGGTTTATCCCTATTCAAAAAATCCCAAAAACATTTTCTCTGTTTTTCTTCTGATCCTGATTCTGAACTTCTGAATAATCGATTATCCTTAACTGATAATCGACTATTGTAGTCTGCAGATTCTTCTCCAAAATACAAAACTTCTCATGATCGATTTTCAATAATTTGATAATCGATTATCGTCATCCTCAGGAAGTATCCAGTTCCGAGTAAATCCTTGTAAATCGATTGTCTTGTAGTGTCAATCGACTTTTGGGTTCCTCAGAACATTCCCAGTTCTGTATCAGATCCTGTTAATCGATTTACTGAGCTAGTTAATCGATTTTCTCCCACTTCCAAATCCTGAGTGAATCATTTCCTGTGTTTGAGTACAACATTTGGTATCAAAGCTTGTTGTTAACATCTCTAAAGGACCAAACACACTTCCCTCACCTTCCTAATCCTTCCTTGATATTTTATCCCAAATATATCACACAAGGTCCACAAATCGGCCCAACCAAACACCATGTCAAATACCACTCAAAACATGACCCATGAAGAACTTGTGGCTTCAAATGCAGCCCTGCAAGCTCAAGTTGATTATCTAGCCAAGCAAATAGCCCAGCTCACTAAACAAAAGCTAGCTATGTTGCAATCCAGTGATGATGAAGAAGACGCTAGTTCAAGTGCCACCATCAGAACTAAAGCTCAAGATAAGTCCGGTTCTGATTTCAAACTGGATATTCCCATCTTTGAAGGAAAGAATGATCCGGATGAGTTCCTTGAATTGCTGGAAACAGTGGAAAGAGTATTTGATTTCAAAGAAGTATCCGACGAGAAAAAGGTCAAGCTTGTAGCCTTGAAGTTTCGGAAATATGCATCTACCTGGTGGTCCAACATCAAAACCAAGAGGAGTCGAGATAAGAAACCCCCGGTTGATACCTGGCAAAAGATGAAGACTCTCTTGAAAAAGAAGTTCCTACCTACTGAGTACGTACGCGAGAATTTTGCTAGGCTTCAAACGCTTAGACAAGGTTCAAAATCTGTTGAGGATTACACCAGAGAATTTGAAGAACTCTTGCTAAGGTGCAATCTGCAGGAGAATGAAGAACAAACCTTCGTAAGGTATCTTTTTGGCTTAAATACTCAAATAGCCAACACGGTTGAATTACAAGGTTTCAACACTTTTTAAGAGCTCACTAAATTAGCTCTTAAAGTGGAATCTCAAATCAGGAAATCCAAAGCCATTTTCTCCCGAACCACTTCCTCTTACTCAAAGCCAACTTACACTCCACCAAAATCCACCTCTACTACCCAGGGTCTGCCCCAAAATTCCAAAACCACACCTCTTTCCAAATCATCTTCCACCTCCCTTACACCTAAAACAGCCCCTCCAACCAACAAAAGAGCTCCCATTTGTTACCGTTGTCAAGGTACCGGTCACTATGCCAATGAGTGCCCGAACAAAAAGGTGATGGCCCTTGTTGAATATGATGATGAAGACTTTGACCACTCTTTGGTTGAAGAGGAGAAATCCGAAGAAGAAGAAGAATGTGTTGGCCCAGATGACGGTGAACTTTTGGTCATCCGAAGGACTTTAAGTGCCATTCCCTGCCTCGAAGAACAACTACAACGAGAGAACATATTTCACACTCGTTGTACAATCCAAAAGAAGGTATGCTCCCTAATTATTGATAGTGGGAGTTGTTCTAATGTAGCTGCCAAGACCATGGTGGAAAAGCTTAACTTAAGCTTGTTTCCTCATCCTAAACCTTACACGATTCAATGGTTGAATCAAGGTAAAGGTTTACGAGTTGATACCCGCTGTTTAATTTCCTTGAGCATTGGCAAAACCTACAAAGATGATATTTGGTGTGATATCATACCCATGGATGCATGCCATGTCCTTTTCGGACGTCCTTGGTTGTTTGATAACAAAGTGCAGCACGATGGTTATCTAAACACTTATTCATTTCTAATGAAAAAGAAGAAGATCACCCTCACACCCTTACTTCCCTCCTCCTCGTCCACTGTCCAAAACAGCCAAGAAAATCACCCCACTCTCATTTCCACCATACTCCAATCTGAACACCATGAGTTCAATGAATTTAAAAACCTCATCCTCCTTGATCTTGAAGAAACTGAACCCAATATTGTTCCAAAACAGCCCCACCCTTTAGCCCAGCCAATCCTTGAAAAATATGCCCATGTATTTCCTGAAGACGTACCACACGGTCTTCCTCCCAAAAGAGATATCCAACACAAGATAGATCTTACTCCCGGAGCTGCTTTGCCCAACAAACCGGCATATAGAATGAATCCTGAAGAGACAAAAGAAATCTAGCGTCAAGTGGATAAATTGCTAGAAAAGGGATTCATTAGGGAGAGCCTAAGTCCTTGTGCTGTCCCAGCCTTGTTAGTACCAAAGAAGAATGGTACATGGAGGATGTGTTGTGATAGCCGTGCCATCAACAAAATTACCATAAAGTATAGGTATCCCATACCTAGACTTGAAGATATGCTGGACGAGCTACACAGTTCTAAGATCTTCTCAAAAATCGATCTTAGAAGTGGTTATCATCAAATCAGGATTTTTGAAGGAGATGAATGGAAAACTGCTTTCAAGACTAAGTTTGGTCTTTACGAGTGGTTGGTTATGCCTTTTGGTTTAACTAACGCCCCGAGCACGTTCATGAGATTGATGAACCAGATCCTGAAGCCGTTTATAGGTCATTTTGTCGTTGTCTACTTTGACGACATCTTGATTTATAGCAAGAATGAAGAAGAACATATCAATCACCTCACTTTGGTGATTAAGAAGCTTGATGAAGAACAATTGTATGGCAACCTGGAGAAAAGCCAATTCTTCTCTCAAGAAACTGAATTTTTGGGATATTTTATCTCAAATGAAGGGATCAAAGTTGATGAGAGAAAAACGCAGGCCATACGAGATTGGCCCATACCAACCACTATGCAACAGGTCAGGAGTTTTCANGTATTATCCCAAGAAGGCCACCCCGTGTCATATTTTAGTGAGAAGTTGAACGACACCCGAAGGAGATATTCAACTTATGACAAAGAGTTTTACGCTCTTGTACGATCTCTTGAGCATTGGAGGCATTATTTGATTAGCAAGGAGTTTATACTCCATTCTGATCATGAAGCGCTGAAGTACATCCAAGGGCAACATAAACTCCGACCCCGTCATGCCAAATGGGTCGAATTCATCCAAACCTTCACCTTCTCCATAAAACACAAGAGCGGGACCCTGAACAAAGGCGCTGACGCCTTATCCCGGCGACATTTATTACTAACGGTACTTAGTACCAAACTTGTTGGCTTTGATATGTTGCAGGGATTGTACAAAGATGATGAAGATTTCAAGGAGGCATACCATAAGTGTCTCACACGGCCCTCTGGTAACTTCCTCATCAAAGACGGTTTTCTGTTTCGTGGCAACCAACTATGTATCCCTAAATGTAGCTTGCGCAAAACAATAATCGAGGAAGTTCATGGCGGTTCTTTGGCTGGTCATTTCGGGATGGATAAAACGTATATGATGCTTCAAGAGCATTATTACTGGCCAAAGATGGAAAGAGACACCGAACATTTCATTCGACGTTGTACTACTTGTCAACTCGCCAAAAGCCACTCCAAAGCCACACAAGGAATGCATATGCTGCTGCCTGTCCCACAAGCTCCCTGGGAAGACGTGAGTCTAGATTTCATCACTTACCACGAACGCAGCGAGGAAAGGATTCAATCATGGTGGTGGTTGATCGATTTTCAAAGATGGCACACTTTGTTCCGTGCCTAACAACTAATGATGCTTCACAAATTGCAGATTTATACTTTAGGGATATTGTCAAACTTCATGGCATTCCCCGAAGTATGGTTTCCGATCGAGATAGCAAATTCTTAAGTCATTTTTGGATGACTTTGTGGAGAAAAATGGGTACTAAACTCAAGTTTAGTACATCAAGCCACCCGCAAACCGATGGCCAGACGGAAGTAACAAACCGAACACTTGGTACCATCCTTCGTGCCATCATCAAGAAGAACATCAAACAGTGGGAAGATTTGCTTCCTCATGCCGAATTTGCTTACAATCGCAGTCCAAGCAAAACAACAGGCGTTTCACCATTTGTTACTGTTTATGGTGTTAATCCCCTTACCCCACTTGATCTTAATCCAATTTTAACAGCTACAAAGTATAGTTGGGAAGCGGAGAAACGAGCACAGGAGATACAAGATATCCACAACAAAGTCCGCGCAAAAATTGAGAAAATGAATGAGCGCGTTAGTGAAAAGATCAACAAGCGACGCAAGAAGATGGATTTCCAGCCCGGAGATCTTGTGTGGATCCACCTTAGAAAAGAGCGTTTTCCCTCAAAACGCAAATCCAAGTTACTCCCCCGAGGAGATGGTCCGTTCGAAGTTTTAGCTAAGGTCAACGACAACGCATACAAGATAGACATGCCTGGAGACTATGGAGTTTCAGCCACGTTCAATGTCACGGATCTCAGCCCGTACTTTGAACCTGAAGATATTCCGAGTTTGAGGTCAAACTCTTCTGAAGAAGGGGAGGATGATGTACCCCGGGATGCTCCTACAAGCACGGAGGTTACACCACAAACCATAAAACAAATCAAAGGGTTAATATCTAAGTGTTATGATCCTTTTTGGGTTGAACTCATTAACCTTTCGTACCCTAAAACCCAAACCATAACCCTGCTCCTCCAAAGCTCTTCTTGATATCAAGCCTTTCCATATCCTTCCCAAATATCCAAAGTCTTTTATTTCCATTTAATAAACAAAATAAAGTCCTTTCTCTCCTTTTTAGCCCTGAACGAGAATGAGGTCAGAAGGACAAACCTTGTGTATTATTTCTACTTCTGTTATTCCTTTTAATTAAAATAAAACCTCCCTTTCACTTCCCTACTTCAAACCCACAAATTTCCCAACTCTTTTACCCAAAATTCAGGCCACATTATGTTCCACAAAACAAAAACAAAATCAGGAAAAGTTTTCCTTGATTGAATAGTGCTGATTTTGTCCTGTTATTCAAAACCCAATCCCCTTCATATTCTTCAGCATATGGCCGAATTTCCCACTCCAAATATCCATAAACACAACTCCATTTACCAAGGATAAAGATAAAAACATCAAGGAATCAAAATCATTGATTGAATAGTGCAAATTTTGTCACATTATCCTTAATTGTCAAAGTTACAATTTTCCTTGATTTCCTTCTCACATGGCAGGAATTAATGAACCATACTAAGCCAAAATCCCAGCCTTTTAATCCCCTTTTCCTGGTCAATGAGTGTTGCCCACTAAGAATAATAACACATGGATATTAATCACATGATTTGTAGGAAAGTGAAGTGTAATTTCCCTTATTTTGCATTATATATTTCGGCCATGAGGCCTTGTAAAGATCATCTCATTTTCATTATCAATATTACTCTTGAAGTATTCCCTGAATTGGTGTGAAGCTAGTTCAATCCATTTCCTAATGAAATATCTCTAAAGTTGGCCACTTTTGAGTGTGTGTTAGGAGTCTATTTAATACTTTAATAGTGATTATTATTGTATAAAATAGATAACAGCCCCAAATATATATTAAGAGTGTGTTTATCTCTTACATATTGTTTGGTTTATCCCTATTCAAAATATCCCAAAAACATTTTCTCTGTTTTTCTTCTGATCCTGATTCTGAACTTCTGAATAATCGATTATCCTTAACTGATAATCGACTATTGTAGTCTGCAGATTCTTCTCCAAAATACAAAACTTCTCATAATCGATTTTCAATAATTTGATAATCGATTATCGTCATCCTCAGGAAGTATCCAGTTCCGAGTAAATCCTTGTAAATCGATTGTCTTGTAGTGTCAATCGACTTTTGGGTTCCTCAGAACATTCCCAGTTCTGTATCAGATCCTGTTAATCGATTTACTGAGCTAGTTAATCGATTATCTCCCACTTCCAAATCCTGAGTGAATCATTTCCTGTGTTTGAGTACAACACCAAGATACATTCGTTTCTTATATGAACAAAGGCTAAAAATCTCAGAAACGGATTTAGTTTCTTCAAAATCATCACAGCCATAAACTCATTCTCACCGGAGTAAAATGGATACATTTCAGGCTATGTTCGTTTGAGGCATTCAAGAAACCGACGCGATATAGCGTGGCGTTACCGAATTAACCAGCGTTGTAGCTCAAATTTGAAATTGGTTTCGTGCTTGAGTCATTAGAAATGAATTCGCCATGGCTGCAACAACGTTTAATTCCGTAGTGCCACAACAAGATACGTTCATTCCTATGATGCCTCAAACTTAAAGAGATTAAAGATCTCATAAACAGATTTCGTTTCTTCAAAATCATCACAGCCATAAACTCATACACAGACCCACGTGAATGGCTACATTTCAGGCAATTTAAGAAACCAAATCGCAATGGATTCTACAATGGTGTTTAAATGCGTAAAACCGCGCCATGTTACATTGGTTTCTTAAATTGCCTGAAATGAACAAATCCTGAAAATCAGAGAAACATATTTCATTACTTCAAAATCATCATATGCCATAAAAGTTTTACTCACACCAGCATGAAATTTAGGCGTTGGAGGCAATGAAAGAAACCAAATTGCCATGGCTGGTATAATGGTGGTTTCTTCACTGTCTCAAACAAACAAAGCCTAAAAATTACTGTAACAGAATTGGGAAGCCTAATAATCAGAGCCTAAAACCGTTTTATCTCAGATTTGAAATACAGTGTTGTGCTTGAGTCATATAAGAAACGAATTCACCATGGCTGCAATAGCGGTTGAATCCGTAATGCCACGCAAAGATACGTTCGTTTCTTATATGAACAAAGGCTAAAAATCTCAGAACCGGATTTCATTTCTTCAAAATCATCACAGCAATAAACTCATTCCCACCGAAGTAAAATGGATACATTTCAGACTATGTTAGTTTGAGGCACTGAAGAAACTGACGCAATATGGCGTGGCGTTACCGAATTAGCCACCGTTGTAGCTCAGATTTGAAATTAGTTTTGTGCTTGAGTGATTAAAAACAAATTCGCCATGGCTGCAACAACGTTTAATTCCATAGTGCCACACCAAGATACGTTCATTCCTACGATGCCTCAAACTTAAAGAGATGTTGAAACACGGGCATGTCACGTTTTCGTACTAAAGCCGTGTTCGTTTTTGTAACAGGTTTTGATAATGCCAAACCGCCGTGATCAAGACAAACATTGAATATACAAGGCGAAGAACGAAGATAAAGAACAAGAGCTAAAAGAGACCAAGAACGAAGACCGCAGTCTTTAGTATTGTTGAGTCGGTCATAATTGTAATCAAGACCGACCCAACCCTCACGCATTGGCTCTTTAGGCTAAAATCTTTCTTGCATTTCTTACATCATAAAAATGTTCTTCAAACTTGTTTAAGTCATTAAAAACACTTGGTGTTCGACCAAACCAAAAACCAAGCCATCCAGCGTTCGGGTTTCAGAAATCGGCGTTCGGCTTTCGGTTATCGGCATTGGTTTTTGGCGTCCAAACCAACCAAGTGGTTTTCAACTTTTTATGATTGGTTTTCTTTCTTTGGCATGTTTAAACGGTTCTCTAACAAAAACACCTTGAAAACCATCTTTCGCTTTTGGTCGTTTGACAAAAATCATTCATAACGGCATAAACTTGGCTAGCCGTGGTTTTCAGTCAAATGACGTGCTTTTTAAAGTGTCTTACTTGATTTCTTAGCCAAATACATCAAATAAGTGTTTTAAACACTTGGTTTTTATTTTGGAGAACTTTGGATTTTTCGGTCGGTTTTTGCATCGGTTGGCTAGGCCGTGGTTAAGGCAAAAACCATGGGTTCTTGACTAACCACCCACCCAGCGATGGGAAGATCTTCCCATCGATGGGTAAGCGGTCCCTTAGCCAAACCAATTTCCAGAACCATGCCAAACAGCGATGGGAAGTTCTA